CATGTTTTAGTGGTGGACATTGTGTTTTAGTGGTGGACATTGTCCATGTTTTAGTGGTGGACATTGTACATGTTTTAGTGGTGGACATTGTCCATGTTTTAGTGGTGGACATTGTGTTTTAGTGGTGGACATTGTCCATGTTTTAGTGGTGGACATTGTCCATGTTTTAGTGGTGGACATTGTCCATGTTTTAGTGGTGGACACTGTCCATGTTTTAGTGGTGGACATTGTGTTTTAGTGGTGGACATTGTCCATGTTTTAGTGGTGGACATTGTCCATGTTTTAGTGGTGGACATTGTCCGTGTTTTAGTGGTGGACATTGTCCATGTTTTAGTGGTGGACATTGTCTGTGTTTTAGTGGTGGACATTGTCCATGTTTTAGTGGTGGACATTGTCCATGTTTTAGTGGTGGACATTGTCCATGTTTTAGTGGTGGACATTGTCCATGTTTTAGTGGTGGACATTGTGTTTTAGTGGTGGACATTGTCTGTGTTTTAGTGGTGGACATTGTGTTTTAGTGGTGGACATTGTCCATGTTTTAGTGGTGGACATTGTGTTTTAGTGGTGGACATTGTCCATGTTTTAGTGGTGGACATTGTGTTTTAGTGGTGGACATTGTCTGTGTTTTAGTGGTGGACATTGTGTTTTAGTGGTGGACATTGTCCATGTTTTAGTGATGGACATTGTCCGTGTTTTAGTGGTGGACATTGTCCGTATTTTAGTGGTGGACACTGTCCATGTTTTAGTGGTGGACATTGTCCATGTTTTAGTGGTGGACATTGTCCATGTTTTAGTGGTGGACATTGTCTATGTTTTAGTGGTGGACATTGTCCATGTTTTAGTGGTGGACATTGTCCGTGTTTTAGTGGTGGATATTGTCCATGTGTTAATGGTGGACATTGTCCATGTTTTAGTGGTGGACATTGTCCATGTTTTAGTGGTGGATATTCCATGTTTTAGTGGTGGACATTGTCCATGTTTTAGTGGTATTTTTATTTCTCCAAGCCAAAACATACCTCGACAAAATACCCCCCCCCCCCTCCCCCACCAAGCCTGACATTTGAGTCCAGTGATGTAACAATTGTGATATCACGTGATACATGTCCATTCACCACCCTTTCCCCGTCAATCATCCTCCAATACCCCCCCCCCCTCTCTCCCTCCCATACCCACCGTCATTTATCTAGCTTGCAATGGAAAAAAGTACTACTAATTCGATCTGCTTGATTGTTATAAACTTATTTATCCTTGACAATGATGATTTGTTTCTATATCTTTCTCTTCACTTCGTTTATCATCAACTTTTTTTTTTGGTTGTTGGGCACTACAGATGTTTTTCTTGTCATTTTACGACATCTGTCTCTGTCCTTAGCTGATATGGATAGTTCTGTAACAGGCAGCCCAGTCCAACCTTTGACGTTATCCATCCAGTCCAACCTTTGATGTCATCCATCCAGTCCAACCTTTGATGTCATCCACCCAGTCCAACCTTTGATGTCATCCATCCAGTCATGTCTTTGATGTCATCCATCCAGTCATGTCTTTGCCTTCCCCCTCCCTCCTTCTCCCTCCTGTCACAGTGCCCTGTGTTTTTATTTTGGATAGGCCGTTGGTTCTTGTGACACGCCCAAACCTGCTTCATTTTCTCAAATGGATCAATTGTATTAGTGATCCTTTCACAGACTTTCAGCTCTGTGACGTCTGTATGGGATCCCGAGGAGTCTGGGTAAACAGAGGCGTAGCGAGGGAGGGGGGGGGGGGGGGCGGGTGCGGACCGCACCGGGTGACACAATTTAGGGGGTGACACCAAGGCAAAAAATAGTAAAATATATAGAGAAAAATTGAGGGGGTGGGGGGGGGGCAAATCGAAAATTGAAGTTTATCCCAGGGAAGAGTCGCTACGCCTCTGGAGGGTGACACCATTAAGTGCCGCACCGGGTGGCACCCGACCTCGCTACGCCACTGTGTGTAGCCATCTCATTTGCAGGATGTGGATTATTCTCTGGATGTCTGCGCTGATGCTCCATGCCTCGCATCCATACAATAAAATAGAAACGACCATTTTAATTTTTGTGCCAATAGAAGAATTTTTGTTGCACCGAATGTTTCTTGATTTTTGAGTGCTGTTGTAGTTTGCGCACATCTTGCAAGTATTTCTTGCTTCATTCCTTCATCAGATAGTATGGCGTCAAATTACTTGAAAGAATAGCCTCCCCCAATCTTTGGCTATTTACACGTATGTGTGCCACTATATCATAAGGGTTGGTGGACACGATCGTTTATCTTGTCGGCATTGATTTCCATGCTGTTGTCGGTGTTTGTTCAATGGGTCTACTAAGTCTGTCAACTCGCGTTCACTGCCTGCTATGGCATGTATGTAACCAGCGAAGCGTAGGTCAGTAATAAACCGTCCGCCAACGCTGACTGGGCCGACATGGTCTTCCAATCTCACTCTTTGTTTCTGGCGGTCCATGGGGTAGATGAAGTAGTGTTCACCTGTTTCAGTGACTTCAGCACATGAAGGAATAGTGTAGCTAGCACTACACTCAGCCGCCTTTACTTTCCTGAACGTGAGTCAGGTACCCGTGATAACTGGGTGAACTCAGGGACTTTCAAAAGACTTGAACCCGGTAATCGAACTCAAGACTTTCGGGTTTGCAGTCCTATGCACTACAAACCGATATCGTCGCTGCTATTAAATAAGCAACATTATTATTCTTGTGCAGTTATCTTATTTGAATGTATAACATTTGGAAAAAAAATACGTTTTAAGCACCATTTGTATACGCTGTAAGTAGTTTTTTTTTTTTTTTTTTAAATTTTAAAAGTCAGCTTTATCTTTAGCCATAACATCTGTTGAGTTGATGTGCAGGTTTGTGATTTTCTGTGGGTTTGACTGTTTCTGTTGATATGTCATTTTGAGTGTTTATGATATTGCAACTTTTAAAAATCAAATCTGGAATATTCTTTTTTGTGCAGCATCTAAACATTCAATTGCACTAATAAAAATGAGAATATAAACATCTTTTTTCGTAATATTAGTTTAAAGTTTTGATCGTTCTAAAATTCCTAAGTAAAATGAAATTTTGTTTCTTTCTTCTTTTACTTTTTTTAAAACTAATTCCGGGTGGTTTGGCGAGGTCAAGCCGGTTACGCTCATGGTTGCTAAAAGTAATGTCTCGAGTTCGAACCCTCTGGTAGATTAGTTGAAATTAAGAACTGATTTATATGTCGATTTTTTTTTCTCCTCACTACAGTTAAATAAAAAAAAATTAATTAAAATGCCTCTTTTTAAAAATTACTTATCTATCTAATAATAAACATCAAATAGAAACGTGGTATAAAACTGCATGCAAATCAAAATTTGTAATATTTTTGTTTTTTATAAAAATAAAATATTGAGAGGATCTTTAGCTTTGCCGCAGTTCATTCCTTCCTATCTATATTTATCCGGTATTTTGTACTTCTTAAATTACTTATGCTTGTTAATCCAACTATGTTTATTTATGCGGTACTTTATAAGCCACATATGCTTATAATGCCATCTATATTTATACAATACTTTATATTTATAAACTACGTATGCCTGTTATTCCATCTATATTATACAAATTATACAGTACTTTGTATAATAAACGATGTATGCATGTTGTCTCATCTATGTTTATACTTTACTTTTTACTTTATAAACTTTATATGCATTCTATATTTTTATTCCATCTACATTGATACGGTAATTTATAAACAATGTTACATGTTATCTCAGGGGTCGTCCATAAATGACGTCACACTCATAGGGGGGAGGGGGGGGGGTTCAGATGGTTCGACGTCACACTTTTGCATTATAAATAAACCGGTAGTGATCTCCCCTAAACTTTCTCGAATATTCTTATATAAAACAACAAGGGGATGGTAACTGGGGATATAGTTATGATTTTTAATCCATTTTAAATACTAAAACTTTTAAAAATAGAATAGAATCTCAGTAAAAAACAATTGCGCACCAAGCGAACGCCTAATAAAGGTGTGTATAATAGTGCGCAATATTATTAGTACTTTTAAAATTTACATTAGTTTTTTGAGAAATCGGAAGTAGCGTAAATTACTACTTCCTGTCAACGGAAATTACTCAAAATTTAACAGAAGGTAGAGAATTAGATCTTTTACTTACATGTGAAATTTCATTTATCTATCTGAAATAGTACTCAAGTTATAGGCTTTTAAAAAATTCAAAGTAGGAAAAGTACCACTTCCGGTTATCGGAAATCGCTCAAAAGTTGATACGGATCTACGATTTTGATAAAATACTTATATATGAAATTTCATCAACCTAGCTGTAACGGTACTCAAGTTATCGTGTTTACACACGGACAGACAGACAGACAGACAGACACACACACACACAGACATACGGACAAGATTGCAAAATTATGTTTTTCCGTATCAGTGAGGTGTAAAACGTCGAGATTTGTAAAAATCTCGATTTTTTTTTTTGCACGATTACAATACTTTCTCTATACTACGTATATACGAGAAAGTAAAAAGCAATGTTAAAAAACGAATTTTAGACGTTATTTCGCGTTTTAGAAAACTGTTTAATAAATCGTAATAGGAATTGATTAAAATCCTCAATTTCAGAGTCAGACAAGATTTTGGAAAAATATCGATGTTTTAAAAAAAAATTCAAATGCAATTTTGAGTTTGGTTGTAGGCTGAGGTGTGACGTCATTTAAGGGGGGGGGGGGTCTGGCTTTTTGTGACGACGTGTGACGGAGGGGAGGGGGGGGGGGGAGGTAAAAATCGTCAAAAAAGCGTGACGTCATTTATGGATGACCCCTCATATAAATTGCTACTCTTGGTACTCAGTACACCACACACAGAATGAAAAAAATCTAGATCTAGATTTCCGCTCTAGAACTACTGTACCATACACAACAGTCGCAACTATCTTCATTAATGTCCTGTCTCTACTCTACAAACATATGAAACTATACACTTACGTCATGATCGATATCACGTGACTTGGTGCACTATATAACCTGTATAGGTAGGTGAGTTAGTCCCATGTTCCCCATCTCTACAGATGTTCTGACCTCACTAGTCATGTTATTTATAGATTACACCGGAAGTGGCTGTCATTGTTTTGCTTATAGAACTTGTAAGTTTATCGTTCTTTCTCGCGTTAATTCGTGTCTGGTTAGCCAGGGAGAGATAAAAGTTTTCGAACTAAATCAATTGTTGTGAACGGGGTTTCCCATTGATAACAAAAAACATGGCGGCTATTTGTTAGTAGGTCCCGCTTCAAGATTTCAAAATCATCAAACGTTCCAGAAATGCAACAACTGTAAAAACTTTCAACGCTGTTTTGTTCATATGGATGGGAACAAACACATGTGTATGCATTTTTTAATATAAAAGTTTTGTGGCGGTAAGTATATTGATTTTATTTCTTTTGTTGATAGTTTGTCCAAGGCTAGGGGACATTACTCTGACAGTACTCTGACTCTACTCAGTCTTTGCTACGAGACTTAAGATTCCCAGACCTAGACCTAGATCTAGAATCTAGATCTAGATCTAGATTCTAGAATCTACCTACTAAGATCTACATTGCTTTAATCTAGTTCTAAGAGTATAAGTTCATGAATTAGAATATATTAGATCTAGATTCTAGATCTAGAATCTAGTATTTTAGTGATCTAGAGATAAAATATTAAAAATATTAAGAAAAGGATGACGGTAAAAACTAAAACAACAGGAAAATGAGGATGACTTCTAGATCTAGATCTAGATCTAGTCTCACTCAGCCTACGACTTACTTACAGAGTTTCTTCCAAGCATCTCTTCGGGGGGGGCAAAGCCCCCCGAAAAATTCTTACCGCCCCCCCCCCCCCCCCGAACGAAAGGAAATTTATATAATTTATATAGAAAATATATACTTTTAACAGTGTCCGCCCCCCCCGAAGAAAGTTTACCGCCCCCCCGAAGATTTCAAGTGCCCCCCCCGGAGAAAAAAGTCTGGAAGAAACACTGCTTACTTATTAATCGAATCTAGATTCTAGATCTAGAAATCTAGATATTAGATCTAGATATCTAGAACTTAGACAACAATGTTAATGTTAATAGACCTAGATCTAGAGTCTAGATGTAGCTAGATTACTGAACTAGACTCTAGTACTGATTACTCAGTGATTACTGTTTAATATTTTAGAAGTAGGCCTATTATATATTAGTTATTAGAAGTAGCTTGTAGATAGATAGCTAGATAGATAGTATTACTAGATCTAGATAGAGATAGTAGAATAGATCTAGATTCTAGTTGCAGATGGTAGTATGGTAGGCCCTAGATCTAAAATCTAGATCTAGAGAATCTAGTAGATCTAGATAGATACTCAGATAGATTCTAGATCTAGATCTAGGATCTAGATTAGATCTAGTTTAGGTAAAACATACCCTAGTTAAGTTTAGTAAGAGCTAGTAATGCCTAGTAAGGCTAACCTGTTTTTAATTTTAAATTAATTTTTTTATATCTAGAATCTAGACTAGATCTACTCTAGCTATTTACTAGATCTAGATCAGTAGCCAGTAGAGTGATTAGAGTAGTAGTAGAGTGTAGTGTAGAGTACTGTAGACTATTGTAGAGTGTAGGTACTAATAACTAGACTGAAACTAAATTAGACTAGAATCTAGGTCTAGATACATTTAGGGCTTACAGACTTATCAGACTACAGTGTTGCAATGAGTAGATCTAGTAATATATAGATTAAATTTAGTTTGAAATTGTTACAGTAGTGCTACTACTTTTCTAAGTAGTAAGTAGTGTAGACTACTAGAAGAGCAAGATGATAGATCTCCATCAAGCTACAATAGAGTTTAGTTAGTAGTTAGTTAGTCATAGTAATAGTACCAAAAGCAGTGTAAGTAGCACAGTAAAAAATAAGTATTACTAGGCCATCTATTATTGTATTAGGCCCTTTTATTTTTAGCAAGTTAAAGTTTGGTTAAGTACTAGATTCTAGTCTTCTAGCAAGTTGCCTAGTAGTAAACTTATAAACTAGATCATGTGTATTAGTACTATTAGACTTGTAGGCTAGTCTTGTTAGTCTAGACCAGGGACTATAAAATCTACAATTGATAACTTTCGGCCTTTTAGTATAAGCCTAATTATTAATGAATTACAGGGTACAAAAATTAATAAATTGGTCAGAGTCAGTATGGTTACAGTTAGCTGTTAATAGAATTAAGTTTTAGATCTATTGTCTACAATTTTTAGTTACAAGTAATGAAAATGAAACTAATAGTTTTGTAATAGTTAAGATATGGTTAACTGTAAACCAGATATTTTAGTTTTTAAGACAAGCTAAGTAGATAGAAAACTGAACCTTTACAATAAATTAAACCTTTTATAAATATAAATATATATAGGCCTATATATATAAATATCTCATATTAGTTAAATAATTATTTTAATATAATATATGGATAAACTTAATAATTTATTATATTTAAATTCCCTAGGTACTTGGCAAGCAATTTTCTCACACTTTACTGTGGCTATTGGTGCTGATCTTGAACTAAAGGTGAGCTGAATTTTTTTTTAATAATAAGCCATTTTTCAGCTTAAGCCCAAGTTTGAAATCGATTCAGTGTTCTAATTCTTACAGAATATGTTGCTACTAAGATTATATACTGTAAGTATTAATATGTATGGCTTGATAGTGGGACTGTCAGACATTAGCTTTCACATTTCTATCTTAAAAGATAAGAGTTCAGATCCCTGGTTTTAGTCCTGGTATGATGTCCTAAGTCTCATGAGTACCAGCTCTCATGAGTACCTGGCTCAAGATAGGGAAATTAAAGGTGGCTGGGTATATACCTCTGAACACTCTAATTTTACATGCAAATGTCACAGAAACAGGTGAATTTTAATTCAACTGCTATATTGGCTGTCTGTTTTAATCAATGATTAATTTTTTCATATTACAGAAAGTTGTTAAAAATATTATTTATTTAATTTCTAGGTAAATGGAACAGCATGGATGTGGATTTTTAGACACAAGGAAGCTGAATTTAACTTTTAATGAAGAATTTAAATGATGATTGTCCATGAAAAGAAATATTAATCATATACATTGTAATGCTGTATTGATGCATCTTCTGTTTTAAGTAATTAAAAAACCATCCATTTATGAAATTATTTTCATTTTTTTTTTCAATTTTAAAACTGTAGTTCTGTTTTGTTATTTGAAAACAATGATGAAAGTATACTGAACTGCCATTGAGATATTAATATAAATGCTATTGTTTATAGTTTGATTCTTTCAGAAGCAACTATATTGACATCAAAACTGAATCTTTATTGTACACTAAGTATAAAAGCTTACCCGCAAACCAGTCCATGTCAACAATTTATTGACATTCAAACATTAAATTTTTTTAAAGGTGATTTTTCTTAAATAAAACAGACTACTTTCATATGGGATAAGAAACATTTAATTTTGAAATTGATTGGTTTATTAAATTTTAATGGAGCTGAAATTAAAACACTGGGTACAAATTTATTATTACTTTGTTTCTCAGAAAATTGCAAATTTTGAACATAACTGTGGGAAGTAGGCAATGATGTTAAAATATCTCTTGAAACTTGAAGAAATTGTGGAAGGTTTAGAGATAGAAAACAACATTTCAGAAGATGATGTTTGAAATAATGGTAAAATATCTTTAGCAATTGTCACTGAATAAATATTTTCATTAGACAAATCACATTTAGATATAGAAGAATAAGGTATGTCTTCAGATTTTCTTATCAGCGAAGATCCTGGGTGATTCTCTTTGTTACCATCGGTCAAACGACAAGCCAATTCTGGAAAATTCATTGGGTTCTTTGCCTGGGCAGCTAAATATATTTAAATTAAGTTCATGCAAGGCTTTAGAAACATCAATTGGATAAAACTCTATAATTTCATTAACTTTTTATTAATATCAGCTCCAAAGGAATAATATAAACAAGTTACACATCATCAATAAATCAAATTTGCAGATATTTCCATTTCACCAAACTTTCTCTAAATCATAATATATATTTTAAATTCATGGCATTTTGTTAGGCTAGATATGTTGACTTTTATTTACCACAATCTGATTATATAAATTAGGATTACCCAGCTATCATACATTCTTCTTTTTACTGCCCTCCTTTATGAAGGGGAGGTAAAAATCATCATAAAATGTGTGATGCAATTTACAGATGAACCCTCTCTCTCTCTACCCCTCCCCCTATATATATATATATATATATATATATATATATATATATATATATATATATATGTATATCTACATAATCTCTAAAATCATGTTGGTACCTCTACCTGTTTGAATGTTAGGCCCATTTCCTTAAACTGTTTCTGTGTGGATCTTCTCCATGGGGGTCATCTATAAATGACGTCACGCATTTTTTTGACGATTTTTACCTCCCCCCCCCCCCTCCCCCTACACATCGTCACAAAAAGCCAGATCCCCACCCCCTAAAATGACGTCACACAGTACTAGATTCTAGATCTAAATTACTACAGTTGCCTACACTCTAGATTTAGTTCTTAAGTTCTACAACAAGACTACACTAAACTTCGCTAGATCTAGAATAATCTAGATTCTATATAGGCCTATAAATTGATATTGAACATATTCTAGTCTACCTGTCTTAAAGTAAATAGCCTATTTAGTAATTTAGTAATTAATTCCACTCAACTACACTGTAAAATAAAAGAAACTAGATCTAGATCTCTAGACTACTCTTGAGTCTATAAATTAAAAATAAATCCTGTATGTCGTATGTTATTGTCTAAGTCGGAATTTTCAAGAGGGTTTTTTTTAAGTCATAGATCTAGATATAGAATTCTAGATCTAGAAATCTAGACTAGATCTAGGCTATATATATTTATTAATTAAATTAGGCTTGATTTCAGATTTACGATTGAAATCTTTTAGGCCTATAAATATCATATTTTATATAGATTATAGATGTATTATTATTATACAGGTTGTATTCTAGATCTATATAAAATATAATATATTTGTGTGTGTGTGTTATTTTAAACTTAATTTACTTAAAACAACTTATTGTCGGAGTT